GAGAGAGAGAGAGAGAGAGAGAGAGAGAGAGACTCGATTATCTCAACCCTATATCGTCACTTTTAAGCACAAGGGGGCTATCCCGAAAAATGCGCATTTTAGAAAATCGAAGGTAAAGCTTTTGAACCTTTATATTCAGTTTCCTTAAAAGGAAAGGAGAGTTTTCTCAATAACCAAACAAATATGCACACCAATGAAATCAAACTTCTCCTATAGGTAGGGCAATGCCCACTTTTGGTATAGGTCAAGATTTCTGGAACCCCGGAAATCTGGGTCAGCCCGCTTGTGCTTAAAAGCAACCATGTATAACTTGCCTCCAGGGCTGCCTACCTCAAACTCAAAGTTCCCATTTCAGGTAATTTCAGAGTTAGTTTCTGGTGATTTGGGTCCAAATCAGGTAATTAAAAGACAAAGGAGGAAAAAACAAACAAGCGATACTGACCAATTCTCAAGACAATTGAGAAAGTTTTGCTCTGATTCCGGTTTTCTTTCTAAATGCACAATTCAGTTTTTTAAAGATAAAAGCACAGATTTTCCAGATGCAGCAAAAAGCCGTAGATAGACAGAAAGAATGAATGAATTGAAAGATGGAGGAAGATTACCTGTCGTGAGTAGCCAGATTTTAGCCAATTTCCACGTAAAAATCTATTGCCGATCCAACTGCACTGGTCGAGTTTGCGAAATGCTCAATCTGCCACTTTCTAGTACAACTTATTGCCTAGAGTTGCCGTACCAAGAAGTTACGGAGTCAAGACTTAGTTCTGATCGTTTGCTACGAAATGTCGATAAGCTATTATCTCACCTTTTCTTTAACGCATATATTTGATAATACTATGATGATATTGCAAGCACAGAACTTTCGTAATGTACGGATTTCGTTAAAAAAAAACCCAGGGAAGATTGGAAGCACTGCAAAACGGACTTTATTATTTTCTAATCTCAGCACCCATTGCAAATCCGGTAGTTCTGACACCTGTATTGGTATGGCGGTAGAACGGGCCCAAATTCGGTAACCAGCCCTGGAAATGCACGAGAGTACTAGTGTTTACTGTGATGTAATTTATTCTGTTATTTAATATTGAAATTCGTTTAAGTGCATACTTTTGTTCGTTTCTCATTTTCAATATATAACACATGGGAACCCCCCCCCCCACACACACAAACATACGCACACACATACGCACGCACACACATACGTACGCACACACACACACACATACACACACACACACACACATATGCACACAAATACACACTCACACACCCAGACATAGAACACACACACACACATACACACACATAAAAGCAAGCAATTGTACAAACGCAATACTCTCACAATGCTCTCTCTTACTCTCTCGTTCTCTCTCTCTCTCTCTCTCTCTCTCTCTCTCTCTCTCTCTCTCTCTCTCTCTCTCTTTCTCTTCCACGTCGTCTCTCTCACGTCGTCTCTCCCACCCCCTACACTTTCTTTCTTTTGTGCACTCCCACCCCTCTACCTCTCCCTCCTTCTCGTAGCTTTTTCAAATCAGACACTGTAATTACCATGTCATTCTGTGAACATTTTAATTAAGCCTTCCCTCCCCCCAAATCCCGAAACCTCCCGAAACACACCGGTTTGGCGTATGGATGGAATCTCTTCACTTCTTTTTAACGCAGGTGATTTATACCCCCATCGACACAATTTAGATCTTTTGGGAGGCGGGTTTCAACCCAGCCTCTCAGAACCAACCCCAGCTGAGATGGATACAACGTCCCAGTCGAAGACTGAGAAACTCTATAAAAATGTCCCACCTCGGTAATCGAACTTGAGTATCCTGCTTGTGACGACGAAGTGTGTAAATGCTACGGCACAGACGCCAGTGAAACACTTATGTCCTCCACCATTTATTCAAACATTCAGAACACTTTTCTTCCACCTCGGGATTTGGGGCGGGGCTGCATACGGTAGTCGATATCTGGTGTCACGGTGAAAATAGACGATCGTCTGGGCGTTAAGTTTGAAGTAGGGGTGGGAGCTCTATTGTCTGATGCCACCGGGTCGTCAGATTCCTTGGACTGGGCTCGGGACGCCCTGGATTGGCTGGGAGGGAATCTGGCACTGTCCCTATCGGTGGGCTGCATAGATTTCTTTCGTTGAGCTTTTGATTTGCCTCGGTTTGTATATGTGGGCGGAGTGTCGACGGGCCTTGACTGGTAGCTGATTGGCTGAGAGGGCCTGGACTGGTAGTTCTTTGGCTGGGAGGGCCTAGATTGGGAGTTCGTTGGCGGAGAGGGTCGTGACTGGTAGTTCATTGGCTGAGAGGGCCTAGATTGGGAGTTCATTGGCTGAGAGGATCGTGACCTGTAGTTCATTGGCTGAGAGGGCCTAGATTGGGAGTTCATTGGCTGAGAGGATCGTGACCTGTAGTTCATTGGCTGAGAGGGCCTAGATTGGGAGTTCATTGGCTGAGAGGGTCGTGGCCGGTAGTTCATTGGCTGAGAGGGCCTAGATTGGGAGTTCATTGGCTGAGGCCGCCAAGATTGGGAGTTCATTTTCTGAGACGGCCTAGATTGAGAGTTCATTGGCTGAGGAGGTCGTGACTGGTAGCTCATTGGCTGAGAGGGCCTAGATTGGGAATTCATTGGATGGGAGGGTCGTGGCTGGTAGTTCATTGGCTGAGAGGGCCTAGATTGGGAGTTCATTGGCTGAGAGGGCCTAGATTGGGAGTTCATTGGCTGAAACATTCCTTGTTGGGTATTCATTGGCTGAGACATTTTGGGTTGGGTATTCATTGACTGTGATGTTCTAGGTTGGCTTTCGAACGATGGTCTATTTTCGTTGACGAGCTGGGATGTCTTTGGATCGGAGTCTGCTTGAAAGTCACTAGGCTGAGAGGTCCTGGGGTTAGGCTGGGCAACCCAAGGCGGGGGCTGTCTTGGCTGGAAGTTAGGGGGAGGATATCTGGGCCGGAAGTTAGGTTGGGGATATCTGGAACGGAAGTTGGGAGGGGGATTTCGGGGCCTGAAGTTTGGTGGGGGATTTCTGGACTGGAAGTTAGATGGGGGGTTTCTGGACTGGAAGCTAGGATTGAGCTGTTCGGGTCCACCGGAAAGCTGATATTTTCTTGGCTGGTAGTAGAGCGGGGTGGTCAAGTTCTGGACTTCAGAAGTGTCCCTGCTTCTTTCTCCGAACTGGTCTTCCGCACTGACTTGGCGGTTTTTGCTGGGCTGGTTTTCCGAACTGGTACGGCTTCTTTGCCGCGGCTGGCCTCCGGAATCGGTTTGGCTTTTCTTCCTGGACTGGGAATTCCTGAACGAAGACTCACTAAGCTGTCGTCCGGACGGGTCACTGTAAGGAGGGCTATCCGAGAGAGAGTGCCAACTTTCTTGCTTTAATGTCTCCTGCCGGTCTTCGGACGAGTTTTGGTCATTGGGGTCTCTAGTGCTTGGGTTGCTCCTTGAAGCATTGTAGATGAGAGACGTGCTGTCCTCTGTGTCTTCCTCCTTACTGTCGGGCTCTGAGCTTGTCAGAGAGTATCTGGAGGGAGTGTAGAAGAAAATTTTTCTTTTGGCTATTTTAAGACCAACTGAACTGACAACATAAAGTCATGGACAGCACGATCGTTGGAACAGTTGACAACCGAAGTGAACAACGGTTACGGTTTCATTGCACGTCAACCTCAGCGGTCCCGGAAGAAGAGATGATACATCCAATCAATGTCTGTTTGTCTTTTTTCTTCCATTTTTTCTTTATTTCTGTCTCTTTTTGTCTTTATTTTTTCTCGCGGTGTTTTCTTCTTCCCTTTTCTAGCTCCCTTCCTTTGTTTTCTTATTCGTTTTAATCTGTACTCTTGACACTGAACAGCGGTCTTCTCCACTTTCGTATTGAAAAACCAAAAACCAAAAACCAAAAATCATCACAGCGGTAGCAGGTAGCCACTGGTGGGTCCTATTTATTTACTTTCTCTCTGTTGTTTCAGTCTGTCTATCTGTCTGTCTTACGTTTCCCAGAACTAAATGACCACAATTGTGTTGATGTGTTTCTTTTTACTCAACCAGACAAACAGATCTCCTTTTTCCGAACTGCTTGACCTAGAGTGCAACACCCAGATCTATCTTGGCAGTTACTTTACTAAAACTCATCTAAGCACACAGACCCTCCTACAGGCCTCTGTGCAGTGGTGTTTAAGCTCCTCGCATTCGCATACAGTGGACTCAGATTCGATTTCCTTCTGGGGAAAAACCTTATCGAGTATCTCTGTCTTTCTGCTGGGGTGTTCGGTCCCTCTTAGCCCGGCATTTCCTGACAGGCAGGGTTGAGGCTCAATCTATATTGTGTCGATGAGGGTGTAAAACATCTGTATTGAAAAAACAAAACGAAACAAAAACAAAACAACAGCAACCAGGGAAAAACTACCACCACTACCACC